CGACTCTTCGGCGAGGGGATTTGCCGGAGCGGACGAATCACAAAGCCGAGGCCGGCAACTGCGGCGGGAGTCTCCTCCGCGGGGGCTGTAATTTGCGTTGACGGAGTTGCCGAAGAGACGTTGTAGGGACATTTTTAATAGGCAAGACTTCGTAGAAGTGTGAACAACGTGAAGGGCGTCAAGTTGAGATGTTCGCAATAGGCGGCCATTGTATAGTTGAAGCAGACTTCTTTACATTTTCAGGAGTACATCAGGTTTATCACTTTACAACCTATGCCTTGAAGACACTTGACTTTAAAACCACGGAGGGACTTTATCCTCGCCCTGCACATGAAGGAGAACGGAGATAAAAGTTGATCAAAAACACCGATCTGAAACTGGGAACGTTTTGTTGAGATCACCTATCCACCCGGCCATATCAACCGACTGCACACCCCCCCCCCCCTCCACCACCGCCGCCTCCAATTCACGTCGCCCATCAAAATTAAAATCGGCGAGGACAAAAATAAAATTGACTCGACCGGCAAGTCAAGGCGAGGGCGTGCGCCCGAGACGGCGTCCGCCGAGGACACGTGGAAGAGTAGGCCAAATATCCCCCGTAGAGTGGCTCAAACTCCCTTGAGTGGAGGCCCTTCCACCAGCAGCAGCATGAGCAAGACACTGCAGTTATTTCTTCTTTCACATGGATCTTATGACCATTTACGTCCCAAACGTGTGCTCTTGGGAGTTGAGCCTTTGGGGGTGGGGGGGGGGGTATGGACTTGCCGTGGCCTGTGGCACGGAGAAACCCACTGGGGAGGCGGCAACTTGCAGGACTACGTCGGTAGGCGTCCATTCAAGTTGACCTCTCCCATCGTGAAGGGGACCTCTTAATCCGGTGGCTTTTAAAGCAACGGTGGGGCGAACTTAAGGCCCTCTTCACGACTTAATTTCATGAAACGAAACTTTTTTTTTAATTTTACCGGCTAAGGCCCACTGACCTATGTAGCTTTTTTTTTTCTTCAAAAGCGCACATGGCTGTCGCAAATGATAGCTCAACGAAGTGGCTTACCGTGTAAGACATTTATTTATTGCAGCCAAATGCTATTAAACGCGTGACGTTGATTCTAAATGTGGAGGGAGGAAAACCGGTGGATCCGGAGAAAAAAAAATCCACGCGACCACGGAGAGAGCAACACGCACGCTCCAAATATACAGGGGTCAGCGTCGGGATTGAACCCACGACCTCCTGTATACCTGGCAAGGTGGCTAACATCTCACCACTGTGGCGCTGTGAACCATACTGAGTCGTGGCCATATGAGGCCAACCGCTGTTGAAACGGCCCGCATGACGATACACATATATCCATCACGGAAGGCAGCCGAGTATCACTTATCGGGAACTGGAGGGTGAATATGTTTGACCTGGCAACAGCGTTGTGTGTAATGTTATGGGCGCCACGGTGGCTAGGAGATGTTAACTGGAGGTTGTGGGTTCGATCCTGACCTTGCCGCTTGTATATTTGGAGTTTGCGTGTCTCTCTCCCCGTGGGCGTGTGGATTTCGTCCGGGTCCTCTGGTTTGTTCCTCCACATTGAGACACAAAGTGCGTTCAGAGTATTTGGCTGCAATAGATTACCACGCAATGATAAGCCACTTCGTTGAGCTGTCGTTTTGTGGCCAGGTCGCTTCTGAAAAAAAGCCGTATCGCTCAGCGGGCATTCTTACCTGGTGAAATAAAAAAAAAAACTGTTTAGCAGTTAGTGCGCTCCGTCGCATCTCTCCGGCCGGGTACGGTACGGGTAGGCCGTGAGTCACTGGTGAGTCACCGTTTGTCACTCATTTCCCAACGTCTTGTCTCTTCTCACAATTCAAGTTCCTAGAATCAATCCACCCGTGCCTGCAACATGGCTTCATCCCAGAGGTCGCAATCGGGTACCCGTACTTTACCCGATACCCGGCCGGGTACGGGTAGCCGGGTATCGGGTACCCGTTTGCGACCCTGGTGCGGCCGGGTACGGGTACGGGTAAGGAATCAAAACCCGTTTGTGACCTCTGTCCGAGACTCGGCCACGTGTGGTTCACCAAAAGAACCTGGACATGCTCTTTGGCCCTGATCAAGGTCAAGATTTCCCCCATCCTTGGGTTATGGACGCAGGTTTTCGCCGTCAAGAGCTGCGTCAGGCCATGAAAAAAAAAGTCCGCTGCGAGTGAAAAATCGAATGGCATACGGTGGGTGTGTATTTATGTATTTATTCATTCATTCATCAGTGAGTGGCCTGTAACCATCAACTCGCTACCCTCTAGGACCCCGGTTTAATTCCAGCTGGGAGCCGTGGAATTCAATCATAGCATTAACACCCCTGGGTTTTCACCGCCAAGATGTGTTTGTTTTATTATTATTATCATAGACAGGGGCACACAAAGCCAGATTTTCAGAAGAGCAATTTAATTTCCTGTGCATACGTGTGCATACATACTGTACACTATACGTACGTGGAAACATATACTGTACGATCGTTCGTTGATCCACGTAATAAATGTATCTTCTCAAACGGCCTCTGGACCATATATCTAACATCTAATCAGTGATGAAAGTCACCATTTCTCTTTGATGATTTGTCTCGATATCAAAGTCTGGGCCCGCTGGTATATAGATACATAAGGCGACACTTTGGCAATGAATTTCACGACACCGTTAATTTATCAGTGGATGTATACGAGGCGTGAACTTTAAGCGTCAACAAAAATCTCATTTTGAAATAAAATCTCTCCCATTTCTTTTTGTAAACGAACAGGGATACCAATAGTAATTTTTTTGTACGTTGCGAGCCATTTCACGGGCATCTTGGCACGGTAGCCGATACGCGTGCTGTATTTGGGGGGTATACGCTGTATTTGGGGGGTATACGCGTGGTTGTATTTGGAGCAGCCGCGGGCGACGCACGCCTGATGGATTTCTTCAGCAACCACATTCGCAGATCGGCGGAGGAGTCCTCCATCGTTCCATTTATGGAGGAAATCTCTCCCCGCGCTGAAATAAAAACGTTCGCATTCGACGCGACGACTTGAGCACGTGATGCCACGTTTTTCCGACGTTTATCGTGAATGAATATTCTTCGGTTGGTTGAATGAAAAGGAAAAACACGCGACTTAGTTTCAATTGGAAGCACCGTATCGCGTATGCCAAATATGTTACTTAAAATATTCATTTATTTACCGGAAAAAAGCATAAAACATCACTTGCCACAGTTCACTTTGAGGTTTGCATGACACGCATAGGATTTAAACTGTCAAACAAGTCTGAGGAAAACTCTGTTGACTTTGACAGCTTGCAGTTCAAAATTGTGATAAAAAAACCTTTGAATGTAACTCACAGACATTAATGACATTGTATTTAAATAACTCCAACTTAGCTTTTTTTTTACGTGATTGTAAGATATAAAATATGGGCTGTCAAGTTAATCCTTTCTGTGCGCGTGTGTAAGTTTATTTCAAGAAAGCATTGACCAACTTCTTGGCAGTTTTATACCAATTGGACAGCAACCAATTTTTTTTACATTTCCACACCTGTGAAGATACTTTTACAAATTCAAAATAATCAAAGGTCAAGAGGTCAATATGGTCAATGCCGTTTGATGCTAGCACGCCTCTCCTCGCAATCACAACTGTTGCACAGTTAACACCAGACCCGCACTCAGTCTCTTCATCATCATCATCTTTGCGACCACCATCACCGTCTGGCTTTAGGACTTCCACTCGATTACCGACTTATGAGTACCGCTCCAATGCCCGTCTCGGTAAGCGGCCCTCCTCAACAAATATGTGGCGTAACACCTGACAGCTCTCAACGCTTCGAAGACGTCTGTGCCGGCGTGGAAGAGAAGGCCAAATACTTCCCTAGTGGGGGTGGGGGGGGAGGCTCTTTGTTCAGAACTCCATCCAGTGGAGGCCCTTCTGCCAAACGGTGCCGTGAGCGATGCCATCACACCCCACGACTTGTCTCCCCTTCTTGTTACGACCACCACGAGGCGCGAAGTTCCAACGTTCGCTTCCGTTCCACTGAGTGTCTCCACAGCGCGTGTGCTCGCTCCCCCCTTTTCAGGCACCTGTAACACTAAGGCCAGAGAACCCACTTTCAAGTCGTCTTTTGTTGTTGTTGTTGTTGTATTTTTCAAATTAAATACAGCCGTGATTAAGAGAGCAGTCAGGAGCTCAGCTGTGAGAGTTAAACAAGCAAGCACAAAACCCCAACAACTAATAATGGTTGAGATTAAGGTTGCCATTGACGTAAACAATTCACGTGATGTGACCAAGGAAGAGCGTGAGGCTCCATTTTTGTAGTACGAGCACGGCAAATACCGCGTTGTCCAGATTGTAGAACGCTCAGGAAAGTAAGCGAGCACCCCCCCCGCCTCCCCCCCAAAACTTCGGGGTCATTTAAGAAAACCGACACAGTTATGCAAGAAAAAATCACCAACGGAACGTCTGGGAGCGAGACGTAATGTCGTCAAATATAAAGTAAAAAAAATAGTGGACGCCTGGGGCAAAGAAAAAAAACGTGCATCTTATGATCCAGAGAATACAGTAATTATGGTGGAAGTGGCGGCAATGAAGGCCACATTGCAGATTCTAAGACGCATCCCCAACTTGTTGTTTTATTTATACGATAGGGGTCTGGCGGGCGGGTGGGTGGGTGGGGGGTTAGTGACTTTTGTAATCAGGAGAATACGGTCATTTGAAAATGTCTCAAAATATGACAAGGCAGGGAGGGTATAGGGCTAATGGATTATTTTTAAACACAGCCTCGCGCCATTAACTCGGCAGAAAGTGTCGAGCGTTCGCTGTTTGAAGCTGGTGAGGACAATTGCCGAGCAAACAAAATAAATTGGGAGAGGTGCCCAAGACGAGACCGTTAATTGGGGGAGTCGTTAAACCGTCGCGTCTCCACGCAGCGTTAAATTCGAACGCCGAAATGAACGTGGAGTGAGCGATAAAACAACGCCGACGCATTACGCGGAGAAAAAGATAGGAGGGCGGGGGGGGGGCATAATGCAGCTACGTCCCCCCCCAGCATGTACCCAGTCACGTAAGCCGACTCCGGGGGAAACCAAAGCCCGTGGCTGCGGCTGTGGCCGGCCGAATTCGTCACGATCCCGGCCTGACATTGCCACTGTAGCTACATGCCGGCGTGTTTTGTCAATGTACCTGGGTCGTCTTCTTGGTTCTTTCGGTAAAGTCACGTAGAATGGCGTGGAATGGCGTTGGCTGAATAAATAAATGCTGGGAGACGCGTTTGTGCTGGCAGTAGGTACGAAGGGGGCACGGGTTCAAAAACCTCATTCCTGCCTCGCGTTCAGCGACGCCGGTTTAACAGGGTGAAAAATAGAAAAATAAAAACTCTGGCAGAATGTGTTATTTCACTGCTGCCATTGCCTGAAATCGTAAAACAGAACTACTGTACCTTTAATTCAACGCTTGAACAAAAAAAAACGACCCCCCCCCCCGTTATCGTCTGAAATGCCAAATGTGCAACACTTGCGGCGTTTCCCATCCAAAGTTACATTTCAGATCTTTCACTGCAATTAACAAAAACGTAGTTTTTGGTTGCAAAACAACGGCCAAACAACAACAAAAAGAAAAGAGGAGACCTGCGGGCGCTTTGCGGTGACGACACAGAAAACGGTACAAATATAACCAAACAACACCCCCCTCGAATTGTTTCGGCAAAACCACCAATATCTCACGTCTCAGCGCGGTTCTCATCGTCGTCTTCGTAGCCACTAGGGCCCCTTTAGCCCCCCATCCACCCACAGCTCCTTCAACCAACGGAGAGAATCGAGGACTGGCGGTGACTTCGCGCTCGTTTTGTTCACGGGTAATATTCAAAGCAGCAAAGACGTCACGAAATTTACTCGCAAATATACCGACCTGCAAGAAGTGCATTCCATTCTGGATCCGTGTTACGGACGCAGGCAACCGTTGACCGTACTTGAAGCGCCGTGGCTAAATTCACACGTGTGCCGAGTGTTTAAAAACCACACCTTATCGATTACTGCATTACAAGCAGAGCTACATCTTAATATAGTACAAAATATAAAAAATACCTTCTTAGCACATATATAGATATGTTTTTTTGACGTATATACAGCAAAGTTATGTACACTGGAATTATACAGAGAAACGACACGTGTTTTATACTTTCGTCTTTGTTTTCACTTCTTAATTCCTCCACATGTCCGAATACCGAGCCGCAGCCGCCGATCTTCTCTCGCCATCGCAAGCACGGCACCACGACCACAGTACATCCTCAGCGCCGCCTCCGTCTCCGGCATTGGCTCGCTGGCCTTCCGCCTTCCCCTAGCGGCACAAACGAACGGCAAAGGGCCCGAGTCTTCGTTGATCGACTCGCCATGCCTTCCTCCTACGACTCCGTCCCACCCTACCGTCCCGTACCTGCGCCGCCGCTCATGTGCTCGCGTCCCTGGTGATCTTCTTGCAGAAGATGACCTTCTTCTGGTCCTGCAGCTGCCTCTTCTTCCTGCGGCCCCACTGGCACAGCAGCAGCCACTTGAAGGTCCGCCTGAAGTTCTGGTTGCACAGCGCGTAGCACATGGGGTTCACCGTGCTGTTGACGTAGCACAGCCAGTAGCCCAGGTGCCACAGGTCGACGGGGATGCAGTCGTCGCAAAACGTCGACACGAGCACCATGATGTTGTAGGGCGTCCACGTGACGATGAACGCCAGCAGGATGGCGCTCAGCGTCTGCGCCGCCTTCTTCTCCTTGATGAGCGTCACGCTCTTGGGCTTCGCGTGCCGCTTGGCCTTGGCCAGCAGCTTGCGCGTCTTCTTGTCGTGCTTCCACGACACCGCCTGGCCGTGCAGGAACTGCGGCCGCGGCGATTTGCTGCCGCCACCGGCGGCACCGCCGGCGCCGGCGCCGCTGTTGCTGCTGCCGTTGCCGCCGCGAGAGGAGGAGGACGACGAGGCGGCGGCGGCAGCGTTGGCGCCGGACTGCTCGGGGAACTTGCAGCAGCGCTGGTGGAACTTGTGCCGCTTGTCCCGCTCCGGGTGGGCGGAGGCCTCGACGGGCGACGTCGCGGCCGAGTGGCCGTCGGCCCGCAGCCGCGTCTCCGTCGGCACGGTCGCCTCCTTGGCGGCGGCGGCGCCGTCCTCCTGCGCCGACGCCCCGGCCGACGCGACCGCGACGGCGGAGACGGTGATCGCCACGGAGGAGGTGGACGAGGACTGCACGGCGAGCAGCCCCGAGCCCGACGTCTTCATCACCACCGTGTAGATGGACTTGGGCCGCTCGGGCGGGCAGCCCTCCTCCTCGGAGAGCGCCGAGTGGCTCGGCGAGGGCCCCCCGCTGCCGCCGTGGCTGCGCCAGCTCTCGCTGTTGCTGAGCTCGCGCTCGGCGCGCTTGTGCGGGTGGCACACGCGCAGCCCCGGGAAGCAGTAGCGAGGGGACCGCAGCCCCCCGGCGTCCCTGCCGCCTCCGCCGCCGCCGCCGCCACCGCCCGCCGCTCCTCCTCCCGCTCCACCGCCCCCGTTGTCCTTGACGTAGACCTCGTTGAAGCTGGACTTGCGGGAGCGGCTCTCGTGCAGCACGAGCTGCCCTGTCGACTCGGAGTCGGTGTCGGAGCCCTGCAGCCCGGCGAGCTCCTTGGAGCGCTTCTCCGTCTCCTTGTAGATCCTCCAGTAGAGGATGCACATGATGGTGACGGGCAGGTAGAAGGCCGCGATGGCCGTTCCGAAGGTGATGATGGGCTCCGACAGGAACTGGATCTGGCACTTGCCCTCCGAGTCCGGAACCTCCTCGACGAAGTACTGCCAGAAGAGGATGGCGGGCGCCCACAGGATGAAGGACACGGCCCAGGCGAGGCCGATCATGATGGCCGCGCGCTTCGTGGTGCGTTTGGCCCTGTAGGTGAGCGGCCGCGTGATGGAGAAATAGCGGTCGAAGCTGATGACCAGCAGGTTCATGACGGACGCGTTGCTCGACACGTAGTCGAGCGCGAGCCACAGGTCACAGGCCACCTGGCCCAGCACCCAGCGGCCCATGACAATGTAGGTGGTGTAGAGGTTCATGGAGAAGACGCCGATGATGAGGTCGGCGCAGGCAAGGCTCAGCAGGAAGTAGTTGTTGACCGTCTTGAGTTGGCTGTTCACCTTGAAGGAGAGCATCACCAGGATGTTGCCGATGATGGTGAGCAGACTGACGATGGTGGTGAACACGATGATGAGCACCAGCTCGGGCACCGTGCGGTCGTCGTCCGCCGCCGATGCCGTGCTGTTCACCAGGGCGTGAGTGGCGTGGCTCTCGTTCATCCTCAGCAGCTCGCGCGAGATGTTCTCAGCCACGGCCCGCATCGCACCTCCGCCTCTGCCACCCGTGATGTTGAGGAACAGCTCCCCGGACACGGTCACCATGGTTCGGGCTCCGTCCCTGAGTCGTGTGTGAGCAGTGTGTGTGTGTGAGTGTTGGTGCGTGTGTGTGTGTCTGTGTACGTGAGTTATGTGTGTAGGAATATGTGTGTGTGTGTTGGTATGTATGTGTATATTTGCGGAGTGGTATGTGTGTGTATTGATATGTGTGTTTGTACTTTGTGTGTGTGTATCTACGTGTGCATTTTATGCGGATGTGCACGTATGCATTTGCGATTGTGCGCGCGTGTGTTCTGCGTGTTTTTGTGCATTTGCGTGTAAGCGAGAATGTTTATATATGTGCGTGTATGTTGAACTTCTTTCGCATGTGTGTGCGCGTGTGTATTTATGTTTGTGTGTGTGTGCTAAAACTTGTTTTCTGTTTGCCTTCAGTGTTTCACTGCGAGAGCACTCCGGGAGATGACGCTGCCAAGTGACGTTTATCTCGTGACACAGTCACTCTGAAATAAAAGTGTGTGGATTGTGCGCAGAGGCGAACAGCATTCTTGTTAGTTTAACACACAGGAGGCTTTCGCGAACAACATCATCCAAATTAAATGTGGTTTTTTTTGGGGGGGGTGGGTTAGATCGCCTAAATATAAATGTTTCATTAAACCCGCCACCACCCGACACAACCAATTAGTAAGGTTCTTCAAAGGATGCAAAGATTCAAAGGTAAATGCCACACACAACTAAATCAACTCGTACATTACCCCCCGCCCCCCCACCCCCGGCCTCCGCACCTGATTGGCGTACAAGTGACGACATCACATTTATCCCTCGGTATTAAAGACCGAAACAGGAGGATTTCTCCACAACTCTGGCTGTTGCCTGATGATGCTAGTTGCAATTACCAACGAAACATCGTACTCGAATTGTAAATGTTGTGGGTTACTCTCCAACACACCGGTGTGCTGTACCAGTAACGAATTGCCACGTTCTGTTCACGTGACAAACCTTACTAATTGGCTGTGCCGGGTGGTGGCGGGTTTAACGACACATTTATATGTATTCACGCGATCTAACCCCAATAAACGTCTGTTATGGAGCATTCTTGTTATAGCATTTTTCGGTAAAGTCACGTAGGTAAAAATAAATAATGAATAATAAAAATAAAATAAATAATAATAGAAATAAAATAATAAATCACGACGTTTCGGAGGCAACACAAGTTTCCGTCATCAGGTGGGACCGTCACAGCTAAATTTACTGTATACAGTAAATCTCGTCGTGATTTATAATTTTATTTCTATTATTACATATATAATTTTTGTTATTATTTATTTTTACCTACGTGACTTTACCAAAAAAACCTAAGAGTATGAATCCTTGCAGTCACGAAAGCTTCAAATATAACATTCGACAGTTCATCACAACGTTGATCCAATGGGATGTTCCACCTCTTTGTGAAATCGAGTGCGAGCAAGGAGGCCGCCTGATGACCCATCGGCTATAGCGATTATTATTATTATTTAGCCCCCCCCCCCCCCATCAATTGATCGATTGACCCCTTGCTCCGTGTAGCACTCTTCACGCGACGAACTGCCTCAAAGGCGCTTCGCGGACGCGGCGAAGGCGGTACAAATAAATAAGCAACGACAAAACGCGGGGAAATCATTCGTTGCGAAGATCAATGAATTGCTGGACCACACTTGAGCAGCCTGGGTGGCGAGGGCCGTTGGTTTTTAAGGGTTTGCCTGCATGGTTGGTCCACAAGTGGCGATGCAGATGTCACTGGAATCGCCGCTGGGGTAACGGCGCAATGCGCTGACCGCTCAGTGGACTATCGCTCCCCCCATTGCGAAGATCAACTGCTTGAGCACACTGCACAGGAAAGTCCTGTTTGTGAGAACCTGTTAAGGCTGGCAGGGCATTCGAGAGCAGCGTGGTCAGCGCAATGCCTGGCCACTTCCGTCTCACAGTGCTGATGTTCACACTCCACGTAGAAGGTACTCGCTTGTTTAAGGCTGAGTTGATCTAGGGGAGGTTCAGATACCTCTTGCCACCGATAGACCCGGTGGGGATTCAACGCAAGTTGCCAGGATCGTAGCGCAGTGTGCTAATCACTGCACCTCTACTCCCCCGACAGACACACGAAGATCCCCCGTATATCTTGCGTAGGTTTGTTGGGGCAAGTTTTGTTTGCAAGCATCTATGGAAATGCCACCACGGCGCATGAGGGGGTGGTGTGGTCAGAATTCCCCGATGTTTATGTTCAACCAAATGTCACCAGGTACTCATTTAAGGCTGATTTGACCTCAGTGAGGCCGAGAACAGGTTATAATATTGCTCGCCACTGATATTAGCCGTGACCCGCGCTCAGATGTACTTCTGCGGCTGTCTGGAACGCTCTTCCTTCCGATATTACGAAGCCACTGGAGCTATGCACTTTAACATCTAAATTGAAAACTAATTTCTTTAGAACTGCTTTTGGTGTTTAGTTTATTGTCCTTCCCGCGCACTTCAGATTAGCACGGTTGGCTACGTACGGTGCAAAGTAAGTTCAACATCCATACATAAATGTCCCGCAATCAAACTGGGGCAACTGGGCTCCTAGCACAGTGTGCTAACCGCTGCACCACCACTACACAGACCCAAGACACACACTCACAAATGCACATTCCATTCATACAAATTACCATGAACAATTACGCCTGAAAGATAAAAGCAGTTAAAAGGCGCGGCATTGAATGAGTAAATGAAAATGATTATCCACACACTGAGCAGCAACAGAGCACCTGCACTGCGTATCATTAAAAAATAAACTATGAAGTTGGTAATTGCATAGCCAGTTATAGATTGCCGCGTGAAGAGATCCATAATAGCAGCCCTTTCATTACTGGTGCCACTGTGTTTTTGAAAGGTATGCTAATGATGCTATGCCCATCGAACCCTGGCACACGGAACCAAGTGCTGTTCTTTTATAAATCCTTTATATTAAGTTCGCATGCTTGCTTGCTTGCGTGCTTGCTTGCTTGCTTGCGTGCTTGCTTGCTTGCTTACGACCGTGCAAATCTTTCGGTCGTTTTTTAATCCACTTCCCGTGATCCAATCGAGCTGACATTTTCCACACAGACTCGTTGTGCCAGACAATTAATGTTCGTGAAAAAAAAATTCCCAAAATTTTACACTTTTTAGGCAAAAAAAAATTATTTTACATATATTCAAATGTAACTCATTCATCGCTTTGGCTGAACGTCACAGTATAAGAGCCCGAGCGTAACCCCTCCACAGGCCGTGGCGGAGTAGCGCAGTTGGTAGCGCCCTCGCTTCCCATGCCAAAGGTCGCGGGATCGATCCCCGCGTCCTCCACAGGCGAATATATTTTTAAATCCTTTATATTAAGTTCGCTTGCTTGCTTGCGTTGCTTGCTTGCGTGTTTGCGTGCTTGCTTGCTTGCTTACGACCGTGCAAATCTTTCGGTCGTTTTTTAACCCACTTCCCGTGATCCAATCGAGCTGACATTTTGCACACAGACTCGTTGTGCGAGACAATTAATGTTCGTGAAAATTTGTTTCCAAAATTTTACACTGTTTAGGGAAAACAAATTAAATATTTAATTACCAATTGCTTAATACTGGCAGACAATCATCTTGACCCATAGGTGGCAGCCATCTCAAGCCAGAGGACGAGAGGACTCTAGCCGCCACGCATATAAAGGATTTATAGTGAAAAACTTTGTTTTTACGGGTTATACTTATTCCTTCCAAAAATAATCTTATTATTATAATTATACAAATGTACTTCTTCTTGGTTCTTTCGGTAAAATCACGTGGAAGGGAAATAATTAAATAACAAAAATAAAACAAAATAATTCTCACAACGTTTCGGCCACAACGCAAGCAGCCGTCTTCAGGTGAAGAACAGGTCTGTCGGTAAGACAGGAGGACGGCTGCTTGCGTTGTGGCCGAAACGTCGTTAAAATTATTTTATAATGTTTTATTTTTGTTATTTAATTATTTCTCTTCTACGTGATTTTACCGAAAGAACCAAGAAGATGAATCCCTGCAGTCACGAAAGCTTTAAATCGAAAAACAAATGTACTTATGTATTTAGGAGAAGAACAGAGGTAATTTTTTTTTTATGGAGGGTCCTGCTACATCGGGATGTTTTTTTTCCAGATGCTTTCAGCCAATTCATGATGAGTTCATACACGAGGGAGAAAATCGGAGTACCTGGAGAAAACCCACGCCCTGCATGTACGCATGTGTGTTGAACTTCTTTCGCGCCGTACGTACGCACGTAGCCAACTGCGCTAATCGGAGGTGCGGGGGGAATGACATCAAACTAAACACGAAAAGCAGTTCGACATACTCTTGGGTTCTTTCGATAAAGCCACGTAGGTAAAAATAAAATAAAACTGGTTTATTTTAGCCGCGATGATAAGTGCGTTTTAAAAATGAAAAACAACCACATCCGGTTTTGTTCATGAATACTTTTAAAATTAACCTTAAACAAATCGTAACAGAAGACGCGACATGCTGCACGAATCCGGCAGTCGTGGTCACGCACGCGGCCGCCGATCCAGCGCTGTGTGATCAGCAGCAGCGAGGCTGATGGATCACTGCACAGATGTTGCCGTGAAACTCCCTTGCCGTGGGCGTCGAGGTCGCTATACCTTGGTTTGCTGGAAGAAGGTATATACAGCACGTAGACCATTTTTTATATATCTTGATTTGAAGCTTTCGTGACTGCAGGAATTCATACTCCTTTGGTTCTTTCGGTTAAGTCACGTAGGTAGAAAAATAAAAAATAATATCACGACGTTTCGATCGCAACACAAGCGATCGTCCTCAGTGTTGCGATCGAAACGTCGTGAAATATTACTTTTTTATTTTGTTTAATTTTTCCACCTACGCAACACAAGCGGTCGTCCTCAGTGTTGCGATCGAAACGTCGTGACAAATTACTTTTTTATTTTGTTTAATTTTTCGACCTACGTGACTTTACCGAAAGAACCAAAGAGTTTGGGTTCCTGCAGCCGCGGAAGCTTCAAATGAGTTCTAAATAAATTAGTTTTGTCAATCAAGACGATTTGGAAGTGCGTAGCTGCAGTGGCTTTCTAATATCGGAAGGAAGAGCGTTCCAGACGGCCGCAGAAGCGCATCTGAAAGCGCGCGATGCCGGTGATCGTCGTTTTCATTCGATGGCAGCAGCCAAACGCCGCTAACTGCTGCTGCTGCTGCTGCGAGGATGATCGGAGTTTGCGTGATGGTGGTTTATACTCCTTGACGAGATCAGCGAGGTATTGTGGCTCAATTGTGGCAAGCACTTTTTTGTGTAATGACTGCGACCTGATAATGTAAGGGGCAACACACCACCCTATCCCCGTACAGGTGGAACCAGATGGCGATTAGTCCACGTGCTGTATAATACCTTCTTCCAGCAAACCAAGGTATAGCGACCTCGACACCCACGGCAAGGGAGTTTCACGGCAACATCTGTCCAGTGATCCATGAACCCTCGCTGCTGCTGACCACACAGCGCTGAATTGCAGGTGGCCGCGTGCGTGACTACGACTGCCGGATTCGTGCAGCATGTCCCGTCTTCTGTTACGATTTGTTTTAGGTTAATTTTAAAAGTATTCATGAACAAAACCAGATGTGATTTGTGTTATTTTTAAAACGCAATTATCATCATGGCTATTTAAAAAATATATATATTTGTTCTAATTGATGCCAGATTTTTTTGTTGCGAGATGCCGCACCAAATCAGATGTGTTTCCCATGTCAAGTCAAAGCGTATAACTGCTCAGAATAGCAATGGGGCAGCATTTATCTATCTATACTGGTGGCTCCGTGCTAGTGGTGGAAATTCCTCGTTCTTCTGGTACGGGACAGTTTCTCCAAATGACTACCGCTGCTCCTCCTTCTTCGTCACAAAGTGGTA